CAGCTGGCCGGGCGGGCCCCGGGGTGGGTGCGGAACCGCGGGGACCCTGGTGGCTTCTGAGAACCAAAGTTTCAGAGTCGTCCTTCCCGAAGAGCGCACCCCTCGCAGCTGTGAAACAATCCAGAATTCGCTGTTATTTTAGGCAGCAAGCTGTGGAGCTAATAGAATAAGCGACTGACCGTCGGCCTTCTCCATGCACTCTAGAACCAAACTGAAGACAAAAATGACCAGAGAGGGATGGGAACATTTGGGTGCACAGAAAAGAGAAAGGTTAATTCAGAGGTTATCTAAATCAGTGCACATGGCTACATGAGCAGGAAAAAAAGTAGGGAGAGGACAAAGTTTCATAAAGGAAAAAAAAATAAAAGGTAAATGACGACAAAGGTTGCAAGAAGCGAATGCCTGCGATTTAAACCAATAATCAAGCGCAGTTTTTCTTCTTGTGAAATTACCAAAGTTGTGTTTTATTTGGGTGACCAAACCAGTGGTGGTTGGTTAGGAACCAGTGAAACACACAACCTACGCAAGGATTTCCTCTCCTGTACTTCTTGATCTTTTATATAACCATGTTGATAACAGTGATTGAGGGAACAAATGAATAATCAATGTCTCTTTTGAGCCCCAGAGTAACCACAAACGCAATGAAGATAGATGGCAAATCAGCTCCCTTTTATTGATGCTAAAACTGAATAAAAACATACTGAAATTCCTACACACCGTAAATGGCTAGATACCATTGAACTCTCAGACCTTTACTCTTCCTCTTCATTTTGGGGATTTGCTCAAATGTTGGAAACCTAGTTTGAAGTGAATCTGTACACTCCATAGTTTATACATATTAATTTAAAATATGGCAAGAGAAGTAAGAAAGCCATGTACTTTGAGATCAGATATAATCTGGGTTTAGATTTAGCTTAGTGTTCTATGTTTTATGAATTTAAGGATTATGTTCAGGATTGTTAGCCATTTAAAGCGACAGTGATATGCTACGTAACAGTCTCCAGGTGGCTCCTATGATTCCCAACTCCTGACCTCTGCCCTCCTAAGTGTGGGTGGGATCGTGACTTGCTTGTAAACAATACATGTAGGGAAGGTGATAGATGTCACTCTGCAACTACAATACATCATAAAAGGCTCTCTCTTGCTAGCAGACGCCCTCTAGAGATTGCCTGTCTGTCTTGATGAATGAAGTAAGCAGCCACGCTGGGGACATCCCTGTGGCTAGGAAGTGTGGGTGTCCTTGTCCTCTAGGAGGTGAAATGCAGCCTCAGCCAACAGCTGGACAACTGTTGTTAGAGCTCTTCCTCCTACAAACACAAAGAAATGAATTCTCTCAAAAAAGTGACCTTGGAAATAGATTCTCCCCCAGACATATATCCATATGAGAACACAGACCAGACAACAGGTCAACCACAGCTGTTGATGCTCTAAACAGAGCACCAGTTCATCCAATCCTAGGCTCCTGGTTCACCCCCAAATTGTGAAGGTGGGCATGGTGTTCAGTTCTGTCTTTGGTGAATGTTGTGTTAAATATTACTGCCGTGTTGTGCTCTGATTTTTCTGTATCTTTCTTCGAGTGCTTTTCCGTACCTTGAACATAGCAGTCTTCATGAGACAAAACTCCACTGGATTGGTGCTCCACGATGTTTAGGGGCTCCCTGGGACTACCAGCTGCACACTGGCTTCCAAGAGTGTGTGTCTGAGCTCCGCAGACTTCCTCTCTTCAAGTCCTTCAGTTTCTTCTTTTGACCAAAACTGCTGTGGTTGGACAGAGACACGGTCAGCTTCACTTTGTGCCTCAAATTGCACAGCAATGCGAGGGATATTTCCGGCAAAGGCCGAGGAACAAGTGAAGTACTAAGTCAGGTCTCTCTTAATTTATCTTGGTACAGCTTTAATGTGAGCCACCAGTCTCCCTTTCCCTTCCCCTTTACATCAACTTCCTCCTCCAGCCTCAACCCCTGGAGTTTCCGTATGTATTTGTTTGCTAATTGCCCCTGCCTACAGATCAACATCGCCTGACTTGTTTCTCTTCCTCTTTCCTCCTCCCTTCCCTCACCCCTTCCTCTCTCCTCCTCTCCCTTTCCTTCTTCCTTGACTCCATTATTTTTAATCCCTTATTAATTCTCCCTAGTTTTTTTCTCTTTTATTCTTTTTATTGTTTTTTACTATACGAGTAACAAATCAACATAATGCCATAATTATATTTGTGAACTATCTTCAAACAACATAGCTTAGAACTCATTTCTGTTTTCATTCACATACACATTTATAGCAATCATTCTTTTAAATGATTGCATAATGATTACAGTATTAGTATAGCTATGTATACATCCCCTTAACTATGTAGGTATTCTGAGTATTTTGATGTAACAAACCAATGCTGTGTGCATGACCCCTTGGACATGTGTATGATGATTTCCCAAAGGTGTACATCCAGAGGCGGAGCTTCGAGTTACGTCCTTTTTGTTTTATTACCTCTTGATAAACTATTCCAAGTGGCTATGGTAGTTTATACTCCTGCCAGTTGCATAGGAGAGCACTCCTGCTTGCCCTGTGCTTTCTGTACAAACCCTACTGACACCTGAAATTACTAATTTCAAATTATTTGCTTTAGCTTTTTCTCATATTCCTTTTTTTTTTGGTCTTATTGTTTTTATCCTTTTCTTCCCCCTTCCTCTTCTCTCTTTCTTTCATTTTCCCTGGCTCTCATCCCTCCCTTTCTCTCTCTCTCCCTTCTCTCTCTTTTATGTTTTTTTGTTTTCTCATTGTCTTCTTTTTTTCTTAATTTATTATTCATAAATTTTGGAAATTTCATTTATTATTACTTTGCAACCTAATTTATTTCATACTGAAGACCATGGAAACATCTGTGTATCAGCAAATGTACATTCACAAAATAATTGCCAAAGGCTACAATGTATTTTGTGTCCTTGACCTACTGAACTATTTTTTATTGAGTTAAAATGCTTATAAAATTAACCATTTGGGGCCGGGCATTTAGCTCAGTGGCACTCTGCCTGCCCTTGCAAGCACATGGTCCTGAGTTTGATCCCTGGTACAGCCAGAAAAAGAAATATTAACCATCTTAAAGTGTACAATTGAATGGCATTTAGTACATTCATAATGTTGTGCAACCAACACCTATATCTGGTTCCAAAACATTTCATCTCCTCAAAATGAAATCTTGTGTGCTAAAGTTTTGCTCTCCAATTCCCCCTTCTCCCACCCTCCTAGCAACTACTACTTCTTCTGTCTTCACAAACGGATTTTTCTAAACTTTTTTTATGATGAGAATCAGACATTGTGTATCTAGCACCTTTCGCTTTGCATAAATTTTTTTGAGGTGAATCCATGAAATTTCATTCACTTTTATAGCTGACTAGGGTTCCATTGTATGGATGGATATTCCACACTTTGGCAATCCATTCCTCTGAAGAACATTTGAATATTTCTACCTTTGACTATTGTGAATGATGCTGCTGAGATATATGGTGGTTTTTTGTTTAGCTTTTTGAGAAATTGATAAACTATTTTCCTTAGAAGTTGTATTATTTTACATTCCTACCAGCAGTGTATGAGGGTTCTAATTTCTCTACATCCTGGACAACACTTGTTATTGTCCATTTAAAAAATTGTAACTATTCTAATAGGTATGAAGTGGTATCTCAGTGTTATTATGATTTATAGCTCTGCAATGACCAATTTTGTTTTTTCATATATTTATTGGGATTTGTATATCTTCTTTGGAGAAATGTCTATTCAAGTCCTTTGCTGGCTTTTCAGTTGGATTGCTTATCTTGGTGTTGAGTACTGACACTTCTTTATAGAGTTTTGATACCAGATGACCTCTATCAGATACATGATTTTCAAATACTTTTCTCCCATTCTGTGCATTGTCTTTCCATTTTCCTGTTAGCCTTCTTTGAGATGCTAAAGTTTTTAAGTAATTTTAAGTTTAATTTACCTATTTTCTCTTTTAATTTGTGTTTTGGAGTCCTATCTAAGAACTTATTGCCAATTCTAATGTCATGAAAATTATTCAAATGTTATTTCTAAGAGTTTTAGAAGTTTGTAGTTTTAACTCTTGTATGTGGGTCACTGGTCTATTTTGAGTTAATGTTGGTATATATTGCAAAATAGGGGTCCAATTTTGTTCTTTTGCATGCAAATATCTGGTTGTCTCAGAATTATTTGTCCAAGAGTCTATTCTTTCCCACTGAATGAATTTGGTACCCTTATTGAAACCCGTTGCTCACATATGCATAAGTTTATTTCTGGTCTCTCAATTCTACTAGATATATTGACCTATATGCAGATCCATACACTAGTAACTGTTTTGATTACCAGTGGGTTTTTTCTTGTAAATTTTGAAGTTAGGAATTGTGAGTCTTCCCTTTTTTTTTTTTTTTTTTTTTTTTT